ACTTTACCCAACCAGCATCAGTTAATCTGAACCTTCTTTCCTTCGCTTGAAATAGATTAACTATATCTGCAATGTTGTCTCTAGTATGAACTTCACTGTCTTTGATAATGCACTCAGGGACCTGTAAAGTTTGACTTGCACTGATGTTTCTCTTGGGCAAAAGTTTTGCCTTGATATGTTGTATTTGGAACAGTCTTGGAGGACATGATCTGTTGTCTCAGGTGCCAATCCACATGTGCACATGTCTGATTCACCCATTTTAAATTTTGTGTACATGTATCTGCGAAGCTGACTGTGTCCTGTTCTAAGGCGTAGAGTAAAAACTTGCTCTGGTCTGTCCATAAAATGGTAATCATCTTGTGCTGGTTTTGGCGGCTTTCTGATTGATTTGATTATTCTCTTCTTTTGTTGATTAGAGACTGGTACGTCAAGTTGTTCTTCATTTGCACCTTCCTTAGCTAATTTATCAGCTCTTCCATTTCCAGGAACTCCACAGTGGGATGGTATCCATTGCATTGTTACCTTACACCGGCTGCCTAATTTGTAGAGTAGTGTTCGTATACCAGGTAGTTTTCCAGATTGGAGTGCCTGAAGCACCGCTCTTGCATCTGTCAGAAATACCACGGGTTGTGAAATATGACGCATATTTAACAGTTTCTCTGCTGCTTTTTTGACGGTTTGAACTTCTGCATCCTAGTTGTGACAGTGCTTTCCTGTAGGTATTTTCTCTGTACATCTGGTATTATTTGGATTTTATCTGAACCAATGTACCAACATCCTTCATTCTTCTCCTGTAGAAAGTTACAAATCCCTTCTGATAAAATACTACAATCACTAATCAGAATCCTCTGACACTGAAAATATATTGTGTTTGCCTTGACAATGCTCCAGGATTATAGTTCTATAACCATACTGAAAATAGACGTTTAACTTTCACTTGACAACACTGGAGATAAATATGTTCCAAGATTATAATTCAATTAACAACAATAAAGACAGCCATGTTCCAAGATTACACTTTACTTGAAATAATAAAGATAAGACATGCTCCAAGATTATACTTCACTTAACTACAACAAAGACAGACATGTTCCAAGATTACTCTACCTGACAACAATAAAGAAAAGACATGCTAAAGAAGTATACCACTTAGCAACAAACCTTCAGCTGCAGGTCTGTGAGTGCCTCATCCTCATCACAGTAGTAATCTTCATCCTCTTCACTCCAAAACACACAACATGATGGTATCACCAACTGATGCAGGCCGCTTCTCAAGCGTGCGATTGCTACCAAGTCTTTCTGGTCTAATGAAACACCTACAAAAAAGCACAAACAAATATAACAACATAAATACACGCATACATGTGTGTTTATAATGTGTGTACCGTGGTAAGTGGTTATATGTCTGTGTTGTGTGCATGTGGGTGAGAGAGACAGAGAGTGAGTGAAAAAAGAAAATGACAAGGATTTACATAAAGCAACAAACAAACTTTTTATTTTCAAACCACAAGAGCGTGCAAGAAAAAAAAAACATTACCGCACTATTACTTATTATCTATGCACACAGAACTATAATTAAATAAAGAAACTGATGTTAATATAGCACAAAATGTCATCCATGAAGAATGTCATCCAACCGGCCACCATTCATCTTTGATCTGGCAAAAGTGTAACACAGCCCTGTCAGCAGACGACAACTAGCCCGCAAATTTATTGCATGGATTATACATGAAGCCACGGGTTAACATTAATTCTGTTTCAAACTCAGAAAAGTGCTCCTGAGACAGCTGAATTGATGAGACAGTTTTAAACATGGTGTCACGTAACAGCCCACACCCCTTTTGTCTTAGACTCATCTAGTTCTTGTCACCTCTATGCAGATGAGACTAAATTTAAAAGTAGACCTGCCTCTATAGGTAAATAGTCCATCTTTTGTAATTAGGTGTCTATATGTCGAGTTAAGTACTCTAAAATGTCCTAATTGTGTTTGGAACATAATATTTTCAAATTCAACCTTAAAGGTGAGATTCATTATTAATGAAGCCAAAATTTCAATGGCCGAATTACTACTTGGATTGGAAGGAATCTCCTCCACCTTTCTTTGGGAGAGACGCTTGGGTCAAACTTATTGTTGACTGAGCTTTCAGAGAAGACACACGCTCACTGCCCTTGTGCTGTAAATCTGTCTATTTCAAGAGGAATACTTTTGAGCAGGAGATTTTAACTTCAGTGGAGGCCCAGTTGATAATCATCCATATTACCACCAGCAGCCAAAAGACACCAACATGGTTACTCCCGTCATGGTTACATCCTGTGTCCAGTTGGTGAAGGACTCTTCCAGTGAAAGTACTACCTGGGAGAGATTCATCCCCAGTGAGCTGTGTGTCTGGTATTTTTTTTCTGCCTTACCTAAGACAACAGACTCTGTTGTTTAATTATGAACTTTAGGCTATGTATAGCCAGAACTTTGTCAGAGTAAGGCTTTACTGAACATTAAAGGTATCCAGTTAGTCCAATATCCTGTAAGCTGAGGAAAGGAGCAGTTTATTAGCCTTTGTACCAGCCATCCCAGATGTGTGAGAAGTTATTCGTTACAATGGACCGGACCTGGGGGCAGATAAGTGAAGTATCAGCAGATGCATTTTAGCAGTGATGATGATGGCTGCTACTAGGAGCAATTCATGTGCTATTCAGTCATAACTTGTCTTCTTTTCCTCAGTATTATTGGTTCTATTGAATTTCTATTGCCTTATTCCTACATTTGTTATACTGATTACATAATGTTTTGTGATTTTTACATTCTTGGGTTAGTGTCCATCCTTCACTGTTCCTAATTGTCTGGAGTGTATGTAGTATTGGTATATTACATGTTTAACTGTGTTATTGTGACTAGCATAGGAGACTATCTAGTCTGGGGGCTTAATTGTAGTGAGGAAGTCAGGCCAAATTGCGCCTAGGAATATTTTATGTTCTGTAGTGCCATAATTTGAGTCGCCTCACCCCTGAAGTAGGTTGGATGTTCAGCGGAGCCGCGGAATTTCGCCTAGACCATTGCGAGCCAACATCTCAACATTTTAAAACTACTTCAGAGTGCCATATGGTTGAGTCGGGGAAGCCCTAACCAAGGCACAAAGCATGTGACACTAGCAGTATGTGACACACAGTATTGCTGTCTGCAGCTAGGCTGCAATATCTGTGCCTTTTGACCCGACAGGTCGAATTTCAGCAAATCCTAATTAATCGCCTTTTATGACATGCTTGTTGAGGGGGGGGGGGGGGGGGGCAGTGGGACTATTAAAAAATGGGGTCCTGAAAGCCACATGGGAACATAACTCTTATTCAAATCTACTGACTATTCACAATATTAATTAAAGACATTACAAATATTTACATTGGAAGAAGTCAAACACTTACCAATCAATTTCAAAGATTCAAGTCGTGTGCAGCGCCAAGCCAGCATGACAAATGGATCTTCTGCATCATAGGTATCGTAGCTGATGGGCTGCATGTCTATCGCCTCCACAATAGTGAGGGAACGAAGTGTGTTACGATAGTGACTGCTGATGAAGTTTAGAGAGGCAATACTTATATCCTCACAGAAATACTGCCGAATGTGGGCTAAAGGCATGGAGGGCCTGAGAATGTCCAAGAGAGACTGAAGACCTTCTGCTGAGTGGACAAGATTTAATGTGAGCTCCAGACCTGGGTTTGCCTGCGTGACCTGCCTCCACATGTTGTCTGTGATCTGCCACTGGTTCACTCGGTGGACATGAATGATGAGGTACTTTAGAGGAGGAGCAGTGCAGATGCGACTGTCCAAACTGGACATGAGATTTGGAGTGATAAAATCGTAGTCCAAACTCAATGAACGAAGATTTGTGAAACAGGAGATGTTGTCCACTTTCAGTAATGGAAGATCATAAGAGTTTGAATTCTCTTTAATGCTGGAGAGATGCAAGGACTGTATATGTGAGGCATGATATTTCACCAACAGGTGTAACATCTCCTGGGAGTTGTTAAGAATGATCTCAGTACAGCCCAACGACAAGTGAAGCAGGCGTCTGTTCCTTTTTACCACAATCTGAAGGGACTCCAGGAAGCTGGGGATGATATAAAGTTGACTCTATATCTATATATATATTTAACCTTTTACAGTGTGTGTATATAAATAATTTTAAAAAAAATATATACATATATATATACATATATATATACATATATACATATATATTATATATATATATATATAATATATATATATATATATATATATATATATATATATATATATATATATATATATATATATATTTTTATTTATATATATTTATATATTTATATACACAAGGTCCGGCAAATAAAGTAATAGGACTGATTTTATTACGGCCAAGACAAAAGTGCCATCCATGAAGCAAAGCATGGAATCCAAAGAGGCAACCTTCACCTATGATCTGGCAACCACGCATCACCGCTTGATAAGCAGACGACAAACAAGCCGCCATTTTATTGACCTAAATAGATGTGCATTGTTACGAAATCAGAATGGAGCAAAAAGCTAACATTCAATTATGTTTAAAACTCAGAAAAAACGCCACTGAGACAGTTGAAAAACTCATAGCAAAAGTCACAGAACGGATACAAGAAGATCACTGTTTTATTGTCAGGATGATGGCAGATGAATCTGGTGGTAAAAGAGAGACCCTCTGTGAAATGTTGTTGCATGATTTTGGCAAGAAAAACGTTGCTTGCAGGTTTGTACCGCATTTGTTGTCTGATGACCAAAAACATCAGCGGGTTGAGTACCCACAAGACATCATCAAAACAGGAATGTTTGGCCCTAAAACAAGTGTGTGTTCTCAACCATCCACCCTATTCCCCAGATTTGTCTCCCTGTGATTATTTTCTACTCCCAAAATTAAAGTTACCATTGGAAGGATGCTTTTTTGACGATATAGCTAACATCCAAAGGGCCGTAATATCGACTTAAGGGCCATAGCAACAGAAGAACCACAGAGGTCGTTCCAGTGTTTGTTAAATTTTGCTAATCACTGTATCAATACACAAGGGGCTAACTTTGACTAAAATAAGAAAATACAGGTTATATCTTCAACTGTTGATTTTAATTTTTATGGAATTAGTCTCATTACTTAATTGTCGGACCTTGTATATACTGTTTAAAAAAAAAAGATTCAGATGTATAATTATACAAAATATGTTCATTAGAGTTAATTCAAAGTGTTCCACTTTGTGTGTGCGCGTGCACCTTTCCAGTTGACACTGTTTCATTGCCCTATAAGAAGGCACTGGAACTACAGCACATAGCGATACCAATTAAGGGCCAGTGATGAAGTTTCTGCTCTCCATAGCACAAAGCCTAATCAGTATTGTAGAGTATATGTATTGCCCATGAAGAATGATCCCTTGCTAGGCCTAATTTGTTTTTTTCTAAAGGAAAAGTAACACGAATGTGACTGTTGTGGAAACTGCAGGATCAGAAGAGCAATGCTGTCTGTCCACCTGTATGAGCTCCCCTCCCCCCCATAGACTTACTGCCAACTAAGGCATCTCATTTACCAAAATTACATTCTATTCCACTCAGAGTAATCTTGTTTCCAAACCACTGTCTCATTTGTTTTTTTTGTCTGTTCATGGTAATTCTTGTATTTATCTAAGAAAGTTCATATCCAATGATATCAGAGGAGTGGTTTCCGAGATTTTTCAGGTGTTGGGTGGCACCCCTGAAAAATACATATTTGCAAGATTCCCCACCCCCCCCCCCCCCCCCCCCCCCCCCCCACGAAACTTAATGAATAATAAATGCATGTGTTATCCTATTACAGTGAAGACCTGATTAGGAGAACTCACAGAGGACCCAAGAAATGGTTCTTCTCATCAGAAATTTCTTTTATCCAGATAAGAGTTCAGTAAAAAAAAAAATAGCTCGAAACTGTTCTTTGTAACAAAAACTCACCACATCCGAGATCACCTTAAGAAGCTGTACTGTAATTATATTAGATTTTTTGAATAGTAAATCAACAAACTCCTCATGAAAAAACTGCCCAGGCATTTTTGATTTTTAAATAGTTTTTTAATGATATCTATTATAATTAATTAGACTGAACAAAATCAGATCATTACAAATAGGTTGAAAACCACTGAATCAGGTGTTTTCTGAACTTCTCTGCTTATCGCCCAAGTTTCACACATCTATTTTCATGCAGAAATGCAGGATCTATCATATCATAATTAAAATGAGATAGCACAACACACACAAGGAATGAGAGATGACTTGAGCAGGAAAGTGCATGAGGCAGAACAGTTGGCGAAGGACAATGACCATGTTTTTTTCTTCCCCCGAGGCAGGTGGGGATAGGAGCGATGTTCTGTAAAGGATCGCTATGTCGCGTGATGATGACAGCACAATGTAAAGTTATAATACATTACTATTCCCTGTACTTAAGCAATGTCAGGATTTCTTTATTTGCGTTCAATGGTCATCAACTTCAGTGGAAATGTCTGGCTGTTCATTCATTTCTGGGCTGATCCTGTCATAGAACACGTTTTGAGTGCACATTAATTTTACAGAGTTTTGGCTTTTTTGTATGCAACTTGTTAGTTAAGTTAACCACCTCTCAGGCAGATGAACTCTGAAGGAAAACTTTCATTAGTCGCTTCCAACACCATGCTTATTAATATTATGGTCAGTTAGGTCTATTCTTATTTAAACTTTTTTTGCAGCCTAAAAATGGGGCACTGGAACCCACAGTGCCACACACATAGGGATATCAAGATTTGATTAATTAGCGACTACAGTTTCGACAATTTGCGGTCTTTTTGGCAATTTCCGTTACCATGGAAACCGTTCGAAACTTGTTTGAGAAATGTCAGCTGGGGTTTCGGGATGGGTCCTAATCTCTCATGAAATTTTGCGATTGGTGTGATTTTCACCAGCTATAAACAGCTGAAAACGGCAGAAACGGATCCGATTAACAGCGCATGTCTACGACAGCCAGACGTCCTCTGTTTTTCTGTTACATCAGTTTTATTGAAAATAGGATAAGTATTCAAAGTTGGCTTTAGGCTTTAAACATTACCAGACATGGTAATGCTAGTTATAATTGAATTCTCCATCCAATTTTACATTTGCGTATAAAATTTCTTTCTTGTCTGTGGCTGTTTAGATGTACAGTGATATTTTTCAGGCAATCGCTAATATGTGGCTGTGTCTGAGAAAAATTGTCTGCCATCTTGTCCAATGAAAACAAAGCCAAAACGAAAGTTGCGCAGTTTGGTTGCGAAGAGAAAACTTCTTGTTTCACAGACGCAAGTTTTCAACAGCTGTTTTTTACATCTCATCTCTAGAAAAACCTACATATCTCAGCTCAGAAATGACATACAAAGCCTAAGTGAGGTACCATTGGAAAGAGATTGTTTACAGCTATCTAACTGTGCTGGTTTTATTGGTGTAGAGGGCATTTTGAAAATTTGACCAAAGTATCTAGATTAATTATAATAATTAATATCAATATAATAAAATAATATTAATTTAATTATTATTAATTATAATCATATCGTTTTCAGACTAGTATTACATTGCCGATGTTAATGAATGTTAAAACATCAATTAACAACAGTCTACCTTCCATGAATTACTGCTGTAAAAAAAATGACTAGAGACTAGAGGTGATTGCACCTGATCTTGCTCTAACTAAAACTTAGACAAGAAAACAGTAAACAGCTGATTAAAATAACACAAGGTTCCAACCACCAGCTGACAAATCTTTACAGACTTACAAACTTACCTTTCTAAACTATTATCCTCATTATACAAATAACAGCTAGAAGGTCGTAGTGTAATACATTCTAGCTGTCCATTGCTCGAAAGTTGTTCGAGTAACCGTGTACAATCCCAAATCTGTGAACTTCGTGTTGAATCGAACTCAATTGTGGCTTCCTTCAGGAATTTCGCGCACTTGCAACTGAGAAATCTGGACCTCTGGCGACTTTTGTAGCTGCTTAGGTCGAACGTTATCACCGGCCAGAACTGCGGCAGGAAGAGAAAGCTTCTCCATCTGTGACATACTGAAGATGCCCTGATTCTGTCTCTGGGAGAAAGGTACGAAAAAATATCTTTCAGGACAACACTGGGTAGAGATGCCCAGTTCCCTCTAGCTGCCATGTCTACATGTTTCTGACGTCACCGTCACGTGACTTTGTGTTGTGCTTCGTGTTTCTTATTTTAGTGATAGGAGATGTGCTGTGGCAAACATAGACAAGTAGTGAAAAAGACCAGAAAACTCCATATATTACAAATTATAACCCAAATGGATTGAACTATATATAATTATTTGAATTACTACTATTTCTGCTTATAAGTTGTAAATGATCATTTATAAGGTGGGTTCTCCTAGCCGCACTGCACTAACCACCCCCCCCCCTCCCCCATTAGATGGGCACTTCTGTCCAACTGTGCCAATTCTATGCAATGTGTAGTAGGAGTAGAAGTTTTCATAAAAGTACTCTCCTGTCCAACTCTTACTATCTAAGTAGGATACATAGTTAGGTTGAGTCACGTCCGGCTGTATGTTGGTCCTGACAACTGGATCACGGAACATTTTGGAGGAGTCCCCCTCAAAAATAGGTTACTGGGAGCGTTTCCATGTTGCATTGTGTGACATATTAATATGCTTACAAAGTCCTGTGTTCTAAACGTATTCGTATTACAAATCTACAAATGGATATTGTGAAGTGGATATACAGCAATTTTAGTTTACATCTAAATGTTATTGATGTTTATGTTCATGTTGACTGTAGCAAAATCATTTTTGTTTGTCTGTAAGAGCCTTTATTGTTATATTTAATTGGCACACCTTATTTACCTTAAAAATTACGTATAGTCCTAAAAAATATGTCGAAAATTAATGAAACTGTAGTTTAATTTGCGTATACATCTCCTCGATAAAAACTGTGGACGCAGAGGGACTAAATTCTTGCACAAGAACGTGAATTCTCGTTCGAGCTGTACGGCCTTTTAAATCTGGAGCTGGCCGTGGTTGAGTCAACAATTGACATCACAGCACTCAGGGCATTCCTGTGCGTGCTCCGACCTCATCTTTAGCAGCCAGCACAGAGTTCCAATACTGATGGTACGAGTTACAATCTGGTTATGAGTCTACGTTGCCTTTCCTCTGAGTGTAGTGAGCCAGCCAGATTCTCTGGTTACAATCAAGTACCTCATTCTCTCCTGTGCATAATAATCTTGTTTCTCTACTTCTTCTTCTTCTTCTTCTTCTTCTTCTTCTTCTTCTTCTTCTTCTTCTTCTTCTTCTTCTTCTTCTTCTTCTTCTTCTTCTTCTTCTTCTTCTTCTTCTTCTTCTTCTTCTTCTTCATCTTCTTCTTCGCGTTCACCAGCTGTACACTCTGGCGGAAAGTTCTGGCTGCTCGTCCACTACTGAACTGCAGTCCTGCTCCAAAACCTGAGTGTTGCGTGTGCATCAGTTTTACAGATCTCTCATTCTCTTGAATAAAAACTGTTGGTTCCTTGCCTCTCCGGCAGATGCACTCCGACTTCAAAGGAGCTCCCCAGTTAGTCGACTCTTAATACATGCTTTTGGGGAGGCAGTGGGTCTGTTCTTGATTTCCCCACAATGTGGCCCCGGAACCCACACGGGGGGTTTCTCTACTGATTTCGTTGCTTGTTCCCAAAGGGCCTTGACCGCATCTGTCTTGTCATGTACCAATTCACAGCTCAGTGGTGCAGATCCAGCCAGTCTGTCTGCCTGTTCATTACCCACTACACCGGCATAGCCTGGAGAAAAGATCCAAAGTATGCTCACTACCCGTGACCTTCCTAGTGAAGCTTGCCACTCTGCTCGAAGCATCCCTATCTACACTTTTCTCAGCATGCTTTCAGTCTGTTACAATTACGACATGTATATGCATCTTTTTCTCTAGCCGTCAGAGAGCTGCAGTTACCGCTTCCACCTCCATTCTCATGCTAGATGTTGTGGTGTCGTATGCTAGGCTGTCTTGCACTAAAGATTTTCCATTTGCTTTCGCTACAAACTCCCAAGCACTTCTCTTTCCTCTCAGCACCGAACCATATGTATAGATAATCAGATCACCTAGGCGTGAATTGTTGTGAATCAACTGTTGGACTTCCACCTCCGTAGCACTCGCTGGTCACTCTCTGCACTCCTGGTCCAATGTTATCATAACCATACACAGATCAGACTTTTCCTCTGGTACTCTGGCCCACTCGTTTCCTAGCCCAATGTTCTCCAGCATGCATCTTGTCTTACTGTGTCTTCTGCTTGAGCCATCCACGATTTTCCCCTTTTCAGCCTCTGACCCTTACCTGCAGCCAAAGCTTCATACAGAGGGTGTTCTTTGTGCAGATACTCTAAGGTATGACCTAGCCTGCAGCACCTTTAGCCTATATGCAATAGTCGGCAATGCAAGGATGTATCGCATGTACACAATCGGGGTGTCTCTTGTACACCCCAGGATCACCCGCATAGCTTCAATCTGTATGCGCTCCAGTTTCTTTAGCTGACTCTTCGAGACAATGAGAAACCCTAATCCATAATCAATTACTGAGATGATTAAGTGCTGGTAAAGTGTGAACAGCATTCTCTGTCACGTGTTCATCGTGGGATACATAAATTAGGACCCATGAACCTAACTATATTTTGTAGACCAATCGTCACACGGTCTGTGACGTGCCATAATCACGCTGGATGCCTTTACTTCCCATGATTTTTAACTGGTTCTCGTTTTAGGCTGGGTCAACTTGGAAGCCTATGTCATTTATGGAACACAAATCGGATTGATGTAGATTTGAACCCAGGATCTACAGTTACGCCGGCGTTCATCTAGATACTAAACCACGCCAAATGAGTAATCGTTAGGGGTCACAATTTAACCTTACAGGTTTTTAAAGCCACCCCCCCCCTTTTTTTTTCCAGGAATGCAGTGTAAGATTAACATTTCCAGGATGAGAACGGAGCTTACCAGAATTTGCACATGTAGGATTCACCTCCTTGAGTTGATAATTCTGCGGAGTGAAGTCCTGAAGGAGACAAACTGCACTGCATGCACCGCGGCTCCCAACTGAGATATATATTTTTAAAATGTATACTGTTAATTTGATCCAGAACACCAAAGACCGAGATCTTAGGGGATGCTTGAATGTCTACGCCAGCTGGCAAGGCACTTGATGATGATACTGTTGATAACTTATATATCATATAACCAGGGCTTTTTCCTGGAAATACGCAGTTTTATGGCATGATTATTTCAACGCTGCTCTAATAGATACTTTGTGGCCAGTACCGACCCTTGTGTAGATACTTTATGTTGAGTACTGGCATCTTTCTTCTAGAAAAAAAAATTGTCTACGAAAACCATTTCTCGAACTGTTTTGTTAGTTAAAGTGTTAATATGCTGGTTGACAGGACCTCTTTTAAATCTTGTGTGACGCTAGTGCTTGGCTGTGTCGATGTTTACTGCCAAAGTTGTCAATCTTAGCAGCAACGTGAGGGCGCTTCACCAAAAGTCCTCAAATCGTTATCTCTTTCACGGGACATAATAATGTCAGCCGAGTCCAGAAACTGGCCCATCTGCAACTATAGCATAGCCAGCCATTATCTCATCTCTTTTTTTGTATTCAACGCCCGCATATCCCGGGACAATGAAGATGACTTCACAAACAGTGGACATCTACAACTCAGACCACTGCGTGCATTCGTTGCCTGCCTCGAACCACTGGAGCATGCCCATGGAATCACTCTGTACCCAAATGTGTGAACAGTCCTGTGATTCTAATTTTATGAATACCGGTGTCCCCGCTGTCGCCTCTATAACCAGTCATGTTGCTTGCTAGTGAACAGAGACGGTACTTCTGACCTTCTAGAATATTCTGTCCATGCACTTCTGCGCTCAGCTGTGTACAGGTTCCACCGTGACAACTAAAACATTGAAGTGGAGGAGAAGCAGAGGGATGCCAGCAGAGTAGATATTAGGCATTGACTTCCCATATATTTACTTCCCAGGACCTCACCAGGTTCCCTTTTAAGGCTGGGCCGACCTGGAAGCCAATGTAATTTTTTTTAAGAGAAAAAAAATTGGCTCGGTGCTTTGAAACTGTAGTAGAGCGTCAACCCACTTCACCATGGCGGCTGCCAGATATAGTTGTTAGCATCTCCGCCTATGTGATGTTAGTGCTGGCCGGGCACGCCACAATGATTTATGAGTTTGTATCAGTGATTAATGAGGACTGAGATTTTACTTTCTTTCTAGAAAGAAAAGGTACCGGTACTCACCGGAGAGTCTAAAACAGGTGCCAGAACTAATCACAGAGTGTCTATTAGAGTAGCCCTGGAAAACGTTGCAAAAAAAAAAAAAAAAATGTCCCGGTACTAATTACGACCATGGTAAAAAAAAAACTAAAAAAAAACTCCGGTAAGTATTATTAACACAGAACTCCGGACAGATCCAAAGTACTTGAACTATTCCTAAATATCCCCACAAGCATGAAATGGCCGATCACGCCACTAGAGGTGTTGACTATCAGGCGTCTAGTGCTCTAAGTAAAATGTTCAAGACTGGCTGTTCCAGACTGCACTGCCAAATCCAGCAGCCTGGATAACGACAGAGTCTTGCTTGTTGTCCTGATCGACTTCGCGATATGCATCTTGCATGGTATTATTAATCTCACCCTTGCCTAGTGAGTCATAGTCACCACATTGTCCGCTAGCCAATCAGCAAACTCATTGCCTCGAAAACCCGCATTGCTCGGCACAAAAACATCCATTGATTTCCTAGATTATTGTCTGGAAGGAGACATATCTGCTGGACGCCATCCTCAACACGTGTCATCAAAAATCAGCATCTTGTAAGTTTACATTAGGCTTGAATACTTCATTGTAAAGGAGGTGTCAAGAGTCTGATTTTGTCTTAAGGTTTGATTGTTGTTCAGTGTTGAAAAAGTCTAAAGCGTATCACATCGAGTGACAGGAGGTGTCTCTAGTCATTATCATCATCATCAAATGCCTTGTCAGCTAGCGCAAGCCTTCATTCATCTCTACAGATCTCGGTCTTTGGTGTTCTGGATTAATTCCACTGATGATATTCCTCCTAGCCACTGTCTTAAGCTATCCACCATAATTTCTCTTGGTC